AACTACTTACAGGATGAGCCAATACGAAAGGAAGGGTATTCAAGATAGATGGCTTTAATACAGGACAACCATTCACCTGTCTCACGTGCACGTAGATTTTGCAAGTTCAAAAATGTAGGTGCGGTATTAATAATTCCAGCAATGCGGCATTTCCTCCATTACCGGGCTCGTTCCGTGTAACCGATTGCGAGTTATTCGCGAGCTTTAATGATCAACTAAATCTTCCATCGCGACGCCAAGAATTAACTGGTATCACGGACACGATAAACCCTTCATTGCACGAAGTGATATCAGCTTAGCAGTAATGGTAGAGGCTAGAGTAGGAATGGCGATAATAGGAATAGCAATGGCAGAGGCAATGGTAATGGTAAAAGTAATAGCAGTGAGAGATAATGGTGAAAGAAGTAACTATTAGTGGGGACTAATAGTAAAGGAAATGGCAGTAGAAGAAGGTAATAGTGAAGAATTGTTAGTAGAAGATAATGGCAAAAGAGGTAGTAATAGTAGTACAAAATAGCAGTAACAGTGGTAGTAGAAACATAGCAAAATAATTAATAGTAGTAGAAGGTAATAGTCAAAGAAGTAATCTACAATAGTAAGAGAAGTAATATCTACTAAACGGAAAGAATAGTAAAATAAGTAGTAAAAGCAGTACAGGTAATACTAGTAGATAATAATGAAAGGAGCAGTAGCAGTAGAAGATAGTGATAAAATAATTAATAGTAGTAGAAAATAATAGTCGGAGAAGTAGTATAAGATAGTAGTAGATAATAATGAAAGGAGTGGTAGCAATAGTAGTGGATGAACCAATAAGAATAGCTATTGCAGTAGTAGTTGTAGTTGCGGTGATAAAAGTAATAATAGCAAGAGCAAGAGAAAATTAAGCTAATAATAAAAGTGGTAGCAATAGTAGTAAACAGAATAGACAGATATGTTTACAAATACTCATTCTTCAATCCTTAAAAAGATATGTCTTTTTAAATAAATTTTCTTATCTAATTTTATATCCCGTGCAAGAAATTGTGCTTCATTTTATATACGTTGTCACTACCTCTGTTACAAATTGCGGTTTATTACCCTAGTAGCCTACTCGTTCCACATGCATCTACAACGAAATTGTGAACAAAGTCAAACTCCAGATAACACGCATAGCTTGTTAAAACTGCACGTAAAAGCAAACTTTCCTACAACCTAACCAGTCCCTGTTTATAAAATTTTCCAATAATAGAATTATCAATACTTCACTTAGTTTCCTGCAAAATTTTAACGATTTATTTTAGAAATATTCAATATTTATTTGCAAAAGCATTTGCTTCCATTATTCCTCTTTACAGAAACATTAATCTCAAATTTTTTAGTTTGTTTTCCTCAAACAAGAGACTAATTGTACAATTAACGAATATAATTTATGCAAATTTAACATGCACTGTCGTCTAGTAGATAACTAACATCATGAACTTCCGCGATAAATGAGAAAAACAAGGGTCAATTTTAGCGAATGCTACGTACAGACTAATATCAAAAATTTCTTGCACGAACACTGCCAGTGTATTGCAGTTTATAGAACTTCATATCGTAGGTATACATCACAGGCATATAAACTTATATATGTACTCGGATCGTGTCAAAGGAAGTTTGTTTTAGCTCCACCATGTATTCACTATACTTTACGCAAGGGTAATTTTGATGCGATGTCGCTATCTACGTTTAAAACATTTTGATCTCTATTCAGACTAGTTGATACGGACAAAATAATTTCTTTGAAAACTGCGCCACTGGAAAGTACGACAATGACGGTCCTAACTTCTCTGAAGAACACTGTTCAACTAGGACACCGTTGAAAAATTCTTAAAGAATACTGAAACCCAGAAAAAGGTTTATTCTTCGAAATGGTAATTGTTCAGAAAACAATTCATAAAAATTCCTCTTAAAAATGAAAAGTTCTAATTTTATAGGGAAGATCGCAATCTTTTAGACTAAATTATATTGTTACTTATTTCTATAAATTTCCTACAAGTATTTTGTTACGTCCCAAACGCAACCGTTAAGAGCTTGACTTTATGACACGGACGACCAGGCCTGCTATTTTTGAGGGCTTCTAATTTCAATTCTTTTGTGTTTACCTTTCTTTTCGAAGCGATGTCGAGGACCAAAAAGTGTTTTACGGGCGCAGAAACTCGACGCTTGTGCGTGTCATACGCCTTCCTGGCGCCCGAACATTTCCTTCAATGGCAATTGACGTGTCGTAAAGCCACTGCATACAGACACATACATTTCAGTACCGTTATGACTGGCCTTCCCTTGGGCCTCACACCACCGCCATGACGCCATGCCACCACCCTGTCCCCTAGTGAACCGCGTACTCGCTGTTCATGGAGGACAACCCAAGATGAAGAAGGGCTTCTATTCGTCATCATAGACCACCCCCTTATCACACATTTTAGTATAAGTAGCGAGAAAAATACAACGCGACTGAGTGTCCGCAAATATCTGAAAAGGGCTAATATACAGAGAGTCTGTATCAGTCGACTAGAGTAATTCACACTTATATTTTCTATACGAATAACTCATTTAACTCACACAAAATTAAGCTGGCGTGTGAAAGACGCGGAACACCGTTTTCAATAGAAATAAGATTCACCTCACAACAAATTTACTAATAGCTAAAGAACAATTGAATTAATGTACTGTTGGGATAGTGACAAAATCCTACTCATAGAATTAGATCCTTTGGCCGTTCGAAGCTGGAACGGCTTACTCGTCAAAAGGGTACAAACTCCAGGAAAAACGAAGGCATACATTAGTTAATAGTTAGCTTCGCCTTCTCCCGCGCACACCTCCGCAAAACGTCCTCTGTACGTGATTAATAAACTACTTTTCAACATTGAAGACATCCTTCGAGACTCCTCTCTTTGCCGCGGCATAACAGGACAATAGTTTATATATTTTTCACATATACAGGGCGGGGCAACAACTTGATTACCTTGAACATCTCCCTTCTTTTTAGAGGTATGAAGAAACTTTGTTCACAAAAGTCAAAATTTCAAGGTCACCTTCAATTTCCTAAATTGCTTGCCGTATTTTCTTATTCTTGGTAGAGTAGAAAATGTTTAGGCGGTTTCAACGACCCCTAATATAAGGTCGTTCGGCAATAAATGAAAGAGTAAGTAACAAATCATACGTTATACGTTCCAAGTGGTGCCCGTTTGCATTGATGCAACATTGGAATTGGCGGATTGCTGAAGCCTGTGCACTTGTTATCACTCCCGGATTGATTGTGGCACGCGCTGCAATAAGTCTTCGTTTCATATCTTGTAGCGTTGTTGGCTTCTCCTGGTACGCAATATTTTTCAACGTTCGCCACAGAAAGAAATCAAGTAGTGTTAAATCATTTGAACCAGCTGGCCACGAAATTGGCCCACCACGTCCTGCCCATCGATTCGGGAAGATCCTATCGAGTGTAGCTCTTGCTGTGCGATAACAATGTTCAACGACTAATGCAGGAAGAGTATTCCAAGATATGAGACAAAGACTCATTGCAGCATGTGCCACAATCAATCCGTAAGTGACAACAAGCGCGCGGGCTTCGGTAATCCGACAGTTCCAATGTTACATCGATGCAAACGGGCACTACAACAAGATTTGTTGTATACTTACATTGCATTAGGAGGCGTTGAAATCGCCTAAACATTCTCTACTCTGCCAAGCATAGAAAAGTACGTTAAGCAATTTAAAGAAAAAATGGAGGTGACCATGAAATCTCCGAAAATCCTCCACCTACACAAAAATTAGTACTGCCATATTATAGTCCTCTCCGTTCCGTACGACTTTTATAAACCAAGTTTCTCCATATCTCCAAAAAGAACGGAGATATTCAAGGTGAACAAAGTTATTGCCCCACCCTGTGTTTGTAGGAGCCCTGGAGAAATTTGAGGACCCAAGCGGGAATCGGACCTGCCCATTGCCAAGGCGCCCTCTTAACTTCCTCGTTGTTATTTCTCCTGTTGACGGGTATGGAGGCCCCGATTCCACATGTTTTTTTACAAGAGAACACCTAAATTTTTCATAATTAACTTCACGCATAACTCGTTTTCTAAATGTTTAATTCCCATGAACTCTAAAATCTAAATTAAGCAAACAAAAAAGAAAATAATTCTTACATTCCAATGCAATGTTTTACAACTTCCTTCCAAATTCCATTCCAAACCACAAAATCTAGTTTTCTACTTTACTCTTGTGTCTCATCCTGTAGCTTCAATCTTCCACAAACAATTTCCCCGAAAAATGAAATAATTATATACTGCAATGCAATCTTTCACAACTTCCTGCCAAAATTCTATTCAAACTCCCAATTCCTCCAAACGAAACAGCACAAATTTCCACGTTATTCTTTTAACTCACCCTGTAGCTATAACCTTCTACAAACAATTCTCCGAAAACAAATAAGAAAATTAAATAATTATACACTCCAATGCGATCATTTACAACTTCCTTCCAAATTCCATTCCAAACCACAGAATCTAGCTTTCTACTTTACTCTTATGTCTCATCCTGTAGCCTCAATCTTCCACAAACAATTTCCCCCAAAAATGAAATAATTACACACTGCAATGCAATCTTTCACAACTTCCTTCCAAAATTCTATTCAAACGCCCAATTCCTCCAAACCAAACAACACAACTTTCCACGTTATTCTTTTGACTCACCCTGTAACTTCAATCTTCCATAAACAATCCCACCCCCCAAAAGAAGAAACAGAAATTCGTGTGTATCTTTTAACGCTGATGAAGCTACCTGTAACGCAGACGAAACGTTGGAACTGAAAAACAAATTGGACACAAACAAGTTGTTTAAAGCCTGAAGTCTCGATTAATAATTCAAACAATCCAAGCCTCAAAACTGCGAAAGCCTCAAGAACTTCGAAGAAAGAAAAAGTTACGAGAAATAATAAGAGGAAGAATGAACGTCGGCAGAAAGGAAAGCGTAAGTAAGCCACTTACCACCATGTCACAGCCACTCTTGGAGGCGTCGCTGACGGCGGAGGGGCTCCTTTCGACAACGAGGCCTCCAGGTACCGGGGTTGAGGTCGGTGGTGTCGGTATCGGTGTTGACGCCGAGGCGGTGCTCGTCGGCTGGCTGGACTTAGGGGTCGGCGCCGGTGTAACGATGGATGACGTTGACACCGATTGATCCTTGTCGGAGCTGGCCTGATTCGTTGTCCCGCCGACAACGCCGCCGATGATGGACACACCTGCTCCCGCGGCCGCTGTCGAACTCGATGCTCCGGACAACTCATCCGTCGGCAAAGAGCTCCCAACGTCTTTTCGTTAAATCAGAAAGATAAGAAACAATTGAATCGGTGAGATCAAAAGCAACGTAGAGTCAGTATTAGGTCATTAGGTCTTTAGGGTTTTAAGTCGTGCAATTTGAAAAAAAGACATAACTCCGTTAAAATTAAACATTATTATTTCAAATAAATTCCGTAATGTTCAATACACTTTTGCCAACCTATAAGAGAAAGAAAGACCTATGAGAGGGACCTATTGAGATGCGAAACTGAGGGACGGATGACTAATGTCAAATGTAAACTACATGATGCGCGTGCAGAGAAGCTCTACAACAAAAATGTCTCCCTTAAGTAGCCCCTTTTCCCTGGGAAAGTCCCAGGAAGTGGGGGCGCTGGCCTGCATTTCCGAGGCAATACTCTTGTCCTCCAGGACGAAGGAACTCAGAGATGTTTGGAAAAACATCTCTCGATTCTTCGCCTCGAGGGCCAAGAGTCGCCAGGCCTAAGTGTGTGGTCCCCCCCGTGGCGGTCGCCACATTGGTGTCGAGCATAGCCAAAAAATCAGAAAATTGTCGCCTCGAGGGCCAAGAGTCGCCAGGCCTAAGTGCGTGGCCCCCCCGTGGCGGTCGCCACATTGGTGTCGAGCATAGCCAAAAAATCAGAAAATTACTGTAACGTGGGAACAACAACCCACAACCCGTTCAGCAACTTTACATCCACATGTGTGTCCGCGATAATTAAGATAATAATCGCGATAATTAATAGCATAGGTAATACAAGATACTGATGCTATATGGAATTCAAAATCGCCGGTTTCATTTATATGGTCTGCGTAGTGTATGTATATAAATATTATTCACGGAGAGATAATGGAGGGAAAGATTGTAGTTCGGTGAAGATGTGATCTGCGTATATGCAAGTTTTCATTCCGTACCAATTCAGTTAATCGGTTGGTTTCGTTGGATAGCTGAAGCATTTTATTCGTTATGATTGGATCTGATGTGATTGTTAGTTCAAATGTGAAGTATTTGAAACATATTATATTATTTAACATTATTATTTATTTTCTGCTAAATATATATTTCATTCCAACATTGCCTGTTACTGCTTCTATGTTACAACAATTTTACACTTTTTCAGGTATGCTAGACATCATCAATCTACGATGAACTTTTCTAGCCGATTCCTCGAGTAATTATTTTGTCAACGGATTATCATGCGAAGAAGATAATGATGATTTATCTGATGAGTTTCACTAACGTCATTTCAAAGTTTATGCTTGTTTTTCCTTAAAACCTGTCGAGTTATGACCTGTGAAAAATTTTCGTTGCCAGCCAGGTCAAAAATTAGCCAATTGGCTAATTTTCTAAAAATTGGTCAATTTTAGTAAAAACGTAGCAATCGTTGAAATTAACAAAATAAGATATTAAAATATATTAAAATGCATAAAACAAGATTGAATAGCCAAAAGGAAAACACAAACATAAAAAGGAACGAAGAACTAAAGAGACTTTGTAATTGTCTTCGTTAAAAAAGAAGTTATACAATAAATTACAGAATTTCAATTTTTAGGTAATTTATTCATTGATGGAAGATTTATAATCTGTGTCACGAAAATTGTATGAATGGAAATGGTGCAAGGCTTTTCAATGGAAGAGGTTGAAGAATGTTCAGGTAACAGGTAATAGGTGTTCCTGGCCTAAGGACGCGAGGTGAAGTGAAAAAGTTTGTAGAGTTTTGTAATTTTTTTTTAGCCGCAAGGTAAGTTCTCTGGCGAGAAATTACTCGAGAGATTGTTAAACGATAAGGAGGAGAATGCAGCCTTGTTCGAGGATTTCGACGACGAGGAGAGATACTAGAGAAAGTGAAGAAGTTGGAAAAGTTGATTTTTTTCATCGAACTGAAAATTTAAAGAATTTATCAAGGGAAAACATCTAGCAGAAGACAAAAGGAGTCTGTACCAACGTTAAACTCTAACGAAGAAATTCTACGACATCTCCTACAAACATAAAGTCTCTCGCAAATAAAATTTTTAAATAATTAGCACTAAATGGTGAGTAAGTTGTAAAATAAACTTGAAATTTTTAAGGGAAATAAAATTACTACATTTTGATACCAGTATCATTATTTTATCTTGTTTCAAACTTAGTTCAGAGGATTCAAGACCTTACTTATCAATGAACCCTTGCATTAAAGTTTCCAAACTAAACATGGAGAAGTTTAATTCCATTTTGAAACTTTTGAACGAAAAAAAATAAATTAAAACTATACATTACCTTTGAAATTTAAATATAAATTTAAAATAAATAATTGCACTGTTCTGGTTATGGCTAGAAATCTCAGAACCATTTAAATCAACTCGTGCCACAATTAGAACACAAATGAACGCTCGTCTCTTTCCAACAACCTTTTTATATACTCCAAGTAACCTTGCTCCGATCGAGAATCACTCAACAGTGACAAAAGCTTATTTTACTTGCGAGTTTTGCTTATTCCCCCAGACTGATTGCAAGATGCGAAAATAGAAAGCTATAAGAGAGCGAGACTTTGAAAAGGAAGGAAATTAAACAGAATTGTAAAAAGTTGGCTAAGTTTCTACGTTAATTTTGTACCAACAAGCGACTGGAAATTTCAAGCGGGTACGAATAAACTGAAAAACGAGAGCAAGGTAAATTGGTTGATGGTATAAAACACCTTAATTAATTAAAAGCACACTGCCTACTGCTGCCAGAAGTTACGAGATTCCCTTTACTTTGAAACTGCCAACCGAATTAATCGATCACTTTGGTTCGTTTATTTTTCATTCGAATTTGCGTACCTTTTCAGCAATTGATTTGATTATCGTTTAGTAGTTAGAAAGGAAAAGCGTCGAGAGAACGAAGTTACGAAAATAACGAAGTAGAACGAAGCGAATCAACAGTGATTTAAATTCAGATAGAGAAACGCCGATCAATTTTTCCTTACTTCAAGTTTATTATCGAGGAAAAAATTCATTCGAATTAGAGTCGTAGCGATATTTAAATGAAATTGAAAATTTACGAAAATAACAAAATTTACAAATATTGTACGAATACTTTCAATTTAATTTCAAAATAGAAAATCACTATTACTCGACTACCAAGGAAGAAATCGATTTGAATTAAATTTGAATTGCAGAAAAATTGATCGCAATTTCTCTGTCACAATTTAAATTCATTCGTTTCGTTCTATTTCGTTATTTTCGTAAATTTGCAATCTCTCCGCACCGTACGTCACAGTGAATCTAGTTACGTGCACATGATATTTCGCATCGCAGAGTTATTCGAAACTTGTGCAAACCTCAGAGTTCGTATTGGTCGATACCTTGGTCATCCAGCTATCACATTTGCAATTTTCAAACTAGTTCAATTATTCGACCGGTCATTTCCCGAACAATGTTACTGTTAATCAGGAAAATTGAAAAGTTGGGCAGCGATCATAGTACTTTCACATCGCGAAATTCTTCTGACATTTGTCGAATACTTGTAATATTTAAAGTGAAAATATTAATATCGAAATTAATGTCACAAACAAATACATATATAAAATTAGCAAAAGTAAGATTTTTCTTTTTCAAAAAATTGCGGCTAAACGAAGAGCAAAATTTTGTACTACTACAAAAGTAGATTTTATGAGACATGAATTAAAGAGAATTTACAAGGGACGTTCGGTAACTCGAAAATTTAAAAAACATGGAAACTGCAGAAATGTAGTTCCATTGACGCTAATAACGAAACCATGTCGCGTTGCGCTCTTTTGTGAATGTTCAAAACTCGCGTTCGCGACTGTTACCCGCCAAGTCAATCTTGAGTAACTAATTCAAATTTTGTTTTGCTCGGAACGTTAGCAAAACGTGGAGTGCGTCACGAACGATTGACAACGTTGTTTTGAAATGACTCGAAAGGCTGGAGAGTACCTGTTGTTCGCTCGAGAGAATCTTTGCGAATGTCTTTGCAAAACGTGGAGTGCGTCACGAACGATTGACAACGTTGTTTTGAAATGACTCGAAAGGCTGGAGATTACCTGTTGTTCGCTCGAGAGAATCTTTGCGAATGTCTTTGCCGATCCCCGAATTTTTCTGGAGACCCCAGTGACTCCCCCGCCAAGTGCAAGAACGCACGCTGATTGGTTTTTCACGTACGCACAAATTACCAATCAACGTGCCCCTTGAGTGTCACCCACCCTTCCATTGCGCACTTAGCGCGCTTTTCCTTGGAAGCAGTGGGGCCCTACCTGCGGGTGCGTGGAATCTTCGCTATCCTTCGGTGACGCGTCGGAAATTCCCGCCAGGTCAACCCTCCGCCGAGAGTGCCGTGGATTGACCCTTCAGGAATACCTCGTTTACGACACGTCTTCGGCTATTGAAAGATAGAAATTCTAAAGCCATTGTTTACAAGAAATTACTTATATTTTCGCGTAGCTACATCTTTGTTCTCAAAAATAACCTTCTGGTGCGAGCATGTCATAAACCTGGTCAACGAAGAAGTGTTCGTACCTGCGCGACGGAGCAAAAAATGTAATTAACGCTTAGGATTTGAAACGGAAAGAATATTTTAACGTAACACACGAAGCTGTGTCTTACGCTGAAAGGAATACAGAGAAGCGGGGATAATGAATTTGCCTAGCAAGCAAAGAATCACAACTGAAGCAGTTGCAGGTCATCAGAGACACAACGATATCAACTGAAGATTAAGAGTGATGGGGGTAGTTTTGAAAAAAAAAAAATGTTTTATGAATATTTTGTATCACCACAATGTAGGCCATCAAAAACCAGACAACTTTAAATTTAACTTTTTTTCCATATCTTGTACAGTTTCGTAAATATTCACAATTACATGAAAACTCACAATTTGTTTTCGAGGGAGTTTTGGCGGTTGTGGTGGTGCAGGAGGAAAGGCGATAGAGACAGAGAGAGAGGATAGGCGGAAAAGAAAAGGTTGTGCATTTCGTCCTGGGCCTCCTAGTGGACACGTCAGTAAGGCTTTCTACGAGACCCATGCCTTACACGCGGGGGA